CGTTCCTGGTCATTAGCTGACATTATTAAACCATCCATGTGTAATCCTATGTCCTTTTTTCCTCAAGGACTAATTTTCTGATTTTCACGGTGTATACAAAAGAAGAACTGTACTCCGGAGATCGTAAATAACAGCATAATATAAAATATGTTCTGAATATGCTTATTCATGAACAACGACGACATCTCAATTTACATGTAATATGGCTGAATTCCACATTCGACATACCACACTTTTGATTGTTTGGATGCTTATGTTCACTGGAAATATTTGGAATAGTTATATTCCGTATTTTGAATTAACCTAGTTCCCCGTGCTTTTTTTTTAATCAGTGTACTGCACACAGACACATGTGATACGTTTGGTAGCAAAGTCAAAGCAAAATCGGAGTAGTGTGTCGGCGAATTTGCATCAAGGCTGTAGTATTTTTCAACCGTTTCATGGAATTCAGTGTACAAGCCGTAGCTCTGGCCACTCATATATTTTGTGCCCCATGACTCAAATCTATTTGCGTCTCTACCGTGTTCCACTGACCTCGATAATCTGTTAGATGAAGGCACAGCTCTCTACAGTCACATAGTTAACACCGATAATCAGCTCCCAGCAGCCACTGCCTCAAGCGATATTGTCTACATAACAGATCAGTTTTATGGCTCCGTCACAGGTGTTCCAAGTATTTGAAGCAGGGAAAAGAAATTTCATATGATCATTTCAACAATCAATATTGATATCCCCGTCACTTTTGGTGGTAACTTTCAATGATGTCTCCATTTTTACGGATTTTAATTCGTATGCATTATTTGACTCTCATCAGCGGAATGGTTTGGGTCAGACTGATCCGAATGGACAAGCAGTTTTACTTCTGTTTAGTAGCATGGATGAATTGTTATGTTACATCTTAACCGTATATCAGGCGACTATGCTTGTCGTAAGAGGCGACAAACGGGATCGGGTAGTCAGGCTTTGGTTGATGCATGGCACTGGATTGTCTGGTCCAGACTCGATTATTTACAGACCGCCGTCATATAGCTGGAATATTGCTGAGTGCGGCGTTAAACGACAAACCAATCAATCATCATCATATGAACTCAAACCAGTCATTGTTACAAGTAAACCACATTCGGCAACAGTGACTGACACTGGATAAAAAAAAAACAGCACATAGAAAAAAACCAAGTAACTCAACTCATCATGATCACAATTACTATTCTTTGAAAGAAAGAAATACAAAAAAGAAACTGACCAAAAAACGTAATACAAGAGACGAGGAATCTCCGTTATTGATTAGTCCCGGTATTGAAATGTTCTCCAACTACGTGATAATATTTTGAGTATGTGCATCTGTGGTTGTGACAAAAAGACCTTATCTAGTTTGACTTTTTGTCATATGGAGCCCTTAGTATTTTCGTTTACATTATTGTAACCAGATGCCAAGTGTGAAAAGAATGTGATCTATTATTTGAGTATGTGCATCTGCCAATGTTGTTGGCAGTTTTGATACCAGTTCCACATGTTTACATTTGTGCCAGAAATTGCTACCATTTCCTTCGATCTACTTTTTAAATAAAGACCCAGGTTAGAATTGGTCTTCAGCAACCAATGCTTGCCGTAAGAGGCGACGAACAGGATTGGGTAGTCAGGCTCGCCGATTTGGTCGATGCATAACATCATATTCCAGTTGCATAGTTCGATGCTCTTGGTGTCAATCACTGGATGATCTGGTCCAGACTGGATTATTTACAGGCGCCGTCATATGGCTGCAATACTGCCGAGTGCGGCGTTAAACAAGAAACTATTTTTAAATAGATCTACCCTATGCAAATGTATCAACTGTATTGCCCAATACTCAAAATAAATATTTATTTTTTTCCACAACAGCTTTGTGTTTTTTGTTGTTAATATAATTATGCTCCTTCATGCCTTTCAGTAATATCATAATTATGCGTTTTTGAGGCATCACTTATGGCGGAGAACTTTGATGCTTTGCATCAATGTTTTCTTGTACACATTTGTGATGGGGCGACAATGCGACAACGAGACATATTTTGTCCTTGAAAATGTCGCGTTACGGCATCGTCGCCCTTATGTAAAATAAAGAAAAGGATTATTCAAAGAGCGACAATGCAATCACGCGATTGTCGCGCTTTTGTTAATTTTGACACGTTTTGCTTGTTTTTGTAAGGGCGTCAATGCGACAATGCGACAACGCGACAATGTCCCTTCCATAGTGATCCGTGCAAATAAAACTGAGTTATGCAAATAAGTCTGACATGCCAATTAAAAGATAAAGTGTTGCAGCTTCTGATTTCATAGATCTTCAAGAAGGATTATCAATAATGGGATGGGTGATGAGTTCAACTGCATGCCGAGTCTATACGTTGTGATTAACAATAATGCTCCGAGTCAATACATTTTGTCAAAATGTATGACATGTATTACGTGAATGAACATATTGTTTATACACGTCCATGTTTTTGACGGACAATATAATTTACATGCTCGGTAAAAGTGAGGACGGGAATCATTGTGTGTTTCCGTGCTTTGTTCAGGTGAACAGTTGACTTGTCCTTGCATGTGTTTGTGACGGGTGCCACTTGTGTGGCAGGATACGCTCTCCTTTTCCCGAACACCCGTTGGATGGCCTGAACCAATTCGGATTTTAATCCCACATCAGTCTGTACACCGTGATATAACCGAAATACTGAAATACTGTACAGTTGAAAATGGTGTTTAATGCGAATACCGTAGTGTGTTACTGCAACTGTTCAAATGTTGTGCAGTGCTGTTATGTAATATGTAAAAGAAAGCATATTCAATTATCTAATTGATTTGAATAGAATATACTTGCCTCAGTGTATTTTATTAACGCCCCAAACCGTAATTTAAAAACATATAATAACAGATCATATGTACGCATGGTGCCTTGACTTACTGCTAACTTTAATAGGCCATCCCGGAATAAAATAGTCCCCCCCCCCCCCCCCCCCCCCATGTTTTAGTATGTTTACAAGAAATATATTTCAAACAATATCCTCATTAGATGAGAAGATGTTTTTTAGAATTACGTCAGTAAGTCAATTACAATGACAGAGCGTCCTAATACATTTACATCAAGTACAATACGTCAAAATGGCCGACACGATAAACGTGACGGGAGATATTTCCGAAGTTGTTAATTAACCTGTGGCTATTTCAAGCCTTTGTCATCACTGATCAATTGGCCGATCGTTGAAAGTAGATTGTAAAGATGTGTCAAATAGATACTAAGGTAAATTCATAGATTGCTGTAGATTGTCACTACGATAGTTTGATGTTTTTTTCGTTTGTTTTTTCTCTGGGATGGGTTGTAGCGAGGGTATATTAAACGGGCATGCAACCACGCTTCTGTATGAATTCGTACCAGGGAATTCCAAGGGTTTTCCCCAGGCATGTGGAAGTAGTCAGTGTTCACGCCATTTCAAGAATACAGTCACGTGAAGAACGTCATGTGACCGACCTCTCGTCCTAGCCGTATATCTTGTAAACTTCACATTAAAAAATTGGTTATTATAACCAAATGAAACACAACCCATTATCCGATAGGGGTAACTGTTCATAGCCGAGGGATATGTTACCACAATAAACTTGGTAACATTGTTTGGTTTGACTTCTTGGCGCGTGCCTGAATTCCATTAACATGTTACATATCCTAAAACTGGCTTATCAGCAAATCTCGCTGCACTGCACGCGACAGATACTAGAGCAAGGCATGCCAGAAATACGAAACCATAAGCTTTCGAAAGGAAGCCTTAGGAATCACGTGCGTCGGGGGACCAGCGCCATCTGATTGGCCGTTAACAGTTGTACAAGGCGGAGCAAAAAGCATCGTTTTTCCGTCCATTTTACGCTTGAAAAACTCGACCCTTTTCTGCACACTTTCTAGACGCTCAACAATTAATCAATTTTAATAAACTTTTAGTCGTTTTTCCGTCCAATGACCATATACGAAAAAAAACCTCGACGTTTTCGTGTTTGCAGTGTCCTTTCTTGGGACATAAATATGACGAAACGGTTCTCACGACCTGTATGTATGATCATGTTACGTGTATTATAAGTGGATAAGTGCTTCAAGTTATAATACGACTAAAAAACCAGTAGGACTACTATTACGACTTGTATAGTGTGCATGCATCGGTGGGCTGAGAAGATAAGGTTAGGTTATGTATGGATATAAAAGAGTCCCAATAGAAACTCAAATTTGTTTTCATCTAACGTATGGTCACCAGATCGAGGTAGCGTCGCCTGGGTCGTTCACTGAAGGTGTTATTGATGCTGTTTCATTTGAAAGCGTTGTTGTAACATTACAAAGAATTACAACATGCTTTTCAAAAGCGTCTGTCGTATGAATACATCGACACATGCCAAGCCGATAACAACCTATCCATGTCAACTTGATGTCTAGCGAAACAAAGAGGTTCGGACATGGCAATAAACACATTGCCTGCATGTCATTGTCTATTGGACCATTTGCAAATAAATGAATACATTTCCAAATCAACGATCGCAGTGTCGGAATTGATACAGGGCTCCGTGTCTCAGCGAATTATTAACAGAATCACAGTTAATTACGTGTTGGGAATTCTGGCTTGTGAAACCACCCCGAGTGGATCAGATTAATGCAACGCTAGCTGCACTCTACTGGTAGAGTCAGGTTAAGAATTTTATAATAAAGAAATCTTTGAGGACGTATTCTTACACATCTGTCAGATCTTAAAATTCGTGTACGTGCATGTGTCATACATTCCCGTCATTACTGAACGATATTCTTTATATAATTGTATTTATTTTCGGACGATGACATTGAAACAAATAAAACATTGTAATCTTGGATACGGACAATAATGATCGATAATAACACTGTGGAATCAGTTTGTCTTATTTGACTAAATACGTCCCCATCTAATAATGATCACGATATTTTTAGAAAATAATATTTTAAAAATAAATTTCAAATGAAATTCTGTCGTTAAATCTCTTTATTCAGTACAGCATTATGCCATGGTATTCCTTACGGAATAGACATTTCAATAGTGTGGCCACGTTCTGATGAGATTGTACAGGGCTGTTCCGGGACAGTCGGTGCTGACCATGTCGCGGTGGCCTCTGAGGGTGTAGCTGGACTGAATCTTGCCCATGTTGACGCCGCAAGCAATGAGAGCCTTGACGGTGTTGATGGCCGCACTGTTGGGGACGCGGGTCGTGAAGTTACCAATCATGCAGAAACCTGGATAAAATTAAAGATAATATCCTATCTCAGATACGATAATCACACACGTATTTGATGAGCAGAAATATGGTGTAGGCTGCGCCGAATTATGTCCATAGCCCCGGGTGTGAACCAATGCCCTGTCACTGACTTACCAGACCAACACTGTTATAGCCCTGTGTGTAAGGCTCTCTCCCGTCACTGACTACCAGACCAACACTGTTGTAGCCCTGTGTGTAAGGCTCTCTCCCGTCACTGACCTACCAGACCAACACTGTTGTAGCCCTGTGTGTAAGGCTCTCTCCCGCCACTGACTACCAGACCAACACTGTTGTAGCCCTGTGTGTAAGGCTCTCTCCCGTCACTGACCTACCAGACCAACACTGTTGTAGCCCTGTGTGTAAGCCCCTCTCCCGTCACTGACTACCAGACCAACACTGTTGTAGCCCTGTGTGAAAGGCTCTCTCCCGTCACTGACTTACCAGACCAACACTGTTGTAGCCCTGTGTGTAAGCCCCTGTCCCGTCACTGACTTACCGGACCAACACTGTTGTAGCCCTGTGTGTGAGCACGTGTCCGGTCACTGACTTACCAGACCAGCACTGTTGTAGCCCTGTGTGTAAGCCCCTGTCCCGTCACTGACTTACCGGACCAACACTGTTGTAGCCCTGGGTGTGAGCCCGTGTCCCGTCACTGACTTACCAGACCAACACTGTTGTAGCCCCGGGTGTGAACCAATGCCCTGTCACTGACTTACCAGACCGACACTGTTGTTGCCCTGTGTGTAAGCCCCTCTCCCGTCACTGACTACCAGACCAACACTGTTGTTGCCCTGTGTGTAAGCCCCTGTCACAAACACCCAAACCATTGTAGCCCCGGATATGAGCCCCTGTCCCGTCACTGACTTACCCAGACCAACACTGTTGTAGCCCCGTTAGTGAGCCCGTTGTAGCCCCGGACATGAGCCCCAGTCCCGTCACTGACTTACCCAGACCAACACTGTTGTAACCGCGTTAGTGAGCCCGTTGTAGCCCCGGACATGAGCCCCTGTCCCGTCACTGACTTACCCAGACCAACGCTGCTGTAACCCCGTTAGTGAGCCCGTTGTAGCCCCGGACATGAGCCCCTGTCCCGTCACTGACTTACCCAGACCAACACTGTTGTAGCCCTTGGTGTGAGCTCCTATCCTGTCCCAGCCGCGACCCTCGTAGACGTTGCCGTCCTCCCCGATGAGGAAACTGTAGCCGATGTCACTCCAGCCTGAGGGTAATCAATCACAAGAAGCCCCTTCATCCCTGACTACATGTATATATACATCTGAAGGTGTGATAGAAACACTGAGACATTTGCAGAAACCTATGGTCATGATTATTTGGTTTATAATAGACAAATGAGATCACCAGTCAAATTATGGTTACTCAATATTAATGTTTTCCTTATAGCTTTAACCAGATATGAGAAGGAAGTCAGTATAAAGCATGTGTCTAGCTTCAGGCCTGTGTCTCATTTGCACCATAAGCTTGTATGAAAATATATGTTGACATATATACTTTTACAGTTCTTCATGTACAAGGGGCACGGGTGGCCCAGTCGTCTAAGGCGCCGCGATTCGCTGTGCAGAATTGCGTCCCTTGGGCACGCCAGAAACCTATGATTGTGGGTTCGAATCCCAGTTCGCCCCGATTATGTTTCTAGGTTTGTCAGCACCATACCCGTGCTCGTTGGTTTCGCCGAAGTGGTAACCCTCTGAGACCTGCATCACTTCGGGCTTTCCTCCCAAATTAAGCTGACACGCCGCGATATAACTGGAATATCGTTAAAAGCGGCGTTAAACCCAACTCACTCACTCACTCATGTACAACGAACCCGACAACCCACTCACTCACCGCGGGTGTTCATATGGTAGTTCTGATAGCTCCTGACTCTCTCAGAGCAGGAGCTTTGACTGGAGCAGGGACTACTTAGTCCATGATTGATGAAGGCGTATCTCACAGCCCCGGCAAGATTGCTGGTAGAACGTGGAGATCTAGCACCCCACTCGGCCCTGGTGATAATGCGGGGACATTCAGAGCTGGTACTCCCTGGGTAGAAATGACTACAGTTAACTTTTGTATGACAAGACGGAAAACTGTAACTTTCCAATATTCAACTTTCCCTTCATGTCCATATTCAAGCAGCTCCTGTCTTGGTGTCTGCATCTCACAACTTTCGTGGAAAAGAAACACACATGTACACTCTTGTTTGATCAAGATTGCAACATTCTGATGTCTGATATTTCTTATTATTATAGGGGCTAGTGGTTAAAGCGTTCGCTCGTCACACTGAAGACCCGGGTTCGATTCCCGACATGGGTACAATGTGTGAAGCCCATTTCTGGTGTCCCCCGCCGTGATATTGCTGGAATATTGCTAAAAGCGGCGTAAAACCATACTCACTCACTATAATTATAGAAAAAAAATTGGCCTATTTTATTTACATAAATTTCATACGTGTCTGTGCCTTGTGTTTGGACTCTGCTAAACGATTTGCTCTACTAAACATCAAGATAAAATAATTCGTAAAACTTCATGAGCATCACAATTGAACTCACCACTTTAAACGCTGATTAATTTCTTATATCGCTGTGTAACGAACCCTCATGAGATGAGTTTATAATGCATTTGTGATGTGACATTACTGACCTACATATATTGATGCATTAATAGTCCTTAAGAGAAACAAAAGGTGAAGTGAAGTAGGGTTTTACCTGAAGAGCCGGAATTACCCGAACAACTCCGTATGTTGACGAAGCGTCCGGAGATCCATCCGTCCTGTAACGGGTACGTCAATTTTATAATTTTTTACATCACTATTCTTTACCTCAAAGCATTTAGATCTATACGCAATATTTAGTACGTGTGAATTCATGTTTACACTGACAGCCATACAACAACCAGCTGTATCGCGGAATAAAATAGTTCCTAAAAACGAGAAGTGACATGAACGTATGTATGCTCAACATGCTCCACAGGAACAACTTTTGTAGTTTCTTTACAACAAATGTATCAAATAATATCCTCATAAGATTAGAAATGTCTGATAAGAACTACCTCAGAAAGTCACTCACAGTGACAGCGCATCGTAATAAATTTACATCAAGTACTACCACAAGACGTCAAAATGGCCGACACGAAAAACGTGTCGCGAGAGATTTCAGAAGATGTTAATGAACCTATGGAAGTTACATGTTTTAGTCATCATTAATCATCTGGTCGATCATTAAAAGGTGATTAAAGATGTGTTGATTAGACACTATGGTAAATTCATAGATTGCTGTAGACTGTCACTGTCAGCCTAGACACGGATTGAATCAATCTCATTAAAATCAGATCTAAGTAGTCGCTGTCGCAAAACAAAGACCTGAAGACATCCCATTACGGGTCACGTCAGAACGACCTTTCGCGAACTTTGACCGACCACTGACATGACTCATAACAAGTCAACATTAGCCAATTAGAAAGCAGCTTTCTCGAGCTTCACGGTAGTCGCTTCAACCAGGCGACTTCCGGTTCAGACTTCGCTTGACAAATATGTTAACACAGTTCTCGATTAAGATTTTGAAAACTGAACAAACAAACTTTGCGGAATGTCTAATATATGGTTGATATTGTATGGCAGTGCTTCCCACATGCTGTGCAACGCGTACGCCTCTTCCGTTCAAACGTTTATACCAAGGAAAAGGGGGAGATAGACGATAAATTTGACGGAATCAGTCGTACGGGCCGTAACTGTCGTTCGGAATACCCCGTTTTAACAATTTAACCCATTCCGGCTGTCACTTTCATGACCTGGTAAGCGACGCTTTGATTGGTCGGGTAAAAGGTCGTTCTGACGTGAGCCGTAATAGGATGTCCTCAGATCTTTGTTTAGCGCTAGCGAGAACTAAGATCTGATTTTAATGAGATTGGGATTGAGTCGATACTTCGACAGTGTGGATGTGCATTTCTTCTTTTGTTCACTTAGGTTCGGTCGTAGAGAGGATATTCGTAAACGATCATGCAGTCAAACTCTCCTGCGTTGCTAAATGTATACTGAAACGCCGAGTTTAAGATAAAATTGAGTGAGTGATTGTGGTTTTACGCCGCTTTTAGCAATATTCTAGCAATATCACGGCGGGGGACACCAGTAATGGGCTTCACACATTGTACCCAAGTCGGGAATCGAACCCGGGTCTTCAGCGTGACGGGCGGACGCTTTACCACTAGGGTACCCGACCGCCCTTAAGATAAAAGGGTCTAAATGATCAGAAAGAAACGCTCCTGTATGCATTCGTGCAAAGGAATTCCCAGGGGTTCCCCCAGGATTGTGGAAGTAGTCCATCAGTGTTTACGTCATTTCAAGAACACGGTCGCGTGAAAAACGTATGATCGTCAAATTATGTCGTTCATACACTTATGAACGTTTTTGTCGCGGTCATGTGACCGATCTCTCGTCCAAAGGAAAACCCGTATATCGTGTAAACTTCAAATTAAAGAATCATATTCAAAAACCCACCCTGCCGTTGAAGTTGACATGTACCCAGCCGGATCTCCGATCGCCTTCAAAGGAGGTACAGCGTCCTTTTATTAGGACGCCCAGGATCGAATGCCTTGTTCCCACCCCAGAGCGGACATTAACATTTCCAGTAGCGCATGCGCACTGAGCAGCTTTAACATCACTAACAGTTGCTGCCAAGAAGGCAAGGAAGATGAGAATAACCGCCATGTTTATTCTGGAAACCTCTCTGCAATGAAGAAAGCAAATGAACACGGTGTTTCTACTTCATGATACATCATGACTAGTTGCCTGTGTGATGGCTGATGTCTGAGCTTCCCAAGTTTGGTAGAGCAATGAAAATACTTTTATCAAATTAAACAGACGCCCTGTTAAACAAAGCGCGTGGTCCCGAAAGCCATTTAACTGCACACATGTGTACGGTCAGGAGATGTGTTCTAACACTTACTAGTCCTACTATTCCACTCATCGTGACAAGACAACAAAATTACGAATAGTCTTATCTAACTGCATTTAATACTCAGTTTATAAACAACAAACAAACAATAATAGGGGCTCTGACGAGCGGCATTCGAACAATCTGCTCTGGTCGTAAGAGCTAGTTGAGACACACAGAATGAATGATTCAGCTATTTTTAACTATCTTGTGATGCTCAGCAGCAAAAGTAATATCCAAGGAAGCTGTCAGCCGCAACTGCAGACAATTATGAAGTCAAAAAGATATTTTAATAACAAATGTATGTCATCCAATATAAACCTATAAACTTGATGTGATATAGAAAATAAAAAAATACATGGAAAGATTAATGTATGATGTGGACCCTTTTTCGACCCAAAGAATCTGCATAATTTAAGTCATGAGCAAATTTTTTACAAAGAATTATGACAGTTTTTAGATATGTACACACTAATTATAAGGTACTGGTTTTCATTTCAAAACTTGAATATTTTGGACCGAACTAAGTGTATAGCTGGGGCTGCAATGTGTTGTATAAGCTGATCATAGCGGTTGTTCAGGCCAGCTGGCAGCCCGCTGCAATAATCTAGTCTCGATAACACTAGACACCTGGCTAGAACATGAGCACTTTCAGCTGGGATATATTTTCTGACGTATCTAATGAAACGGAGATGGTACTATCATGATTTGCATGTTCTGTCTACTTGTGCCAACATGGAGAGGTCCGAGTCAATCCAAACACCATGGTCTTCCACAAGCCTGGCGAAGTGACTTATGCTGAACCGATGGTAATATTACTTCTCGTATCAGTTTGGTGATGATTTATGCCAACAAGAAGATCCTCGGTTTTGTCGTCTGTAAGTTTGAACATTTGTTTGTTCATCCATGTTTTTATTTTAATAGTGCATGTTTCTTTTTGCTTGAGGGCTGTGTAGGAGGAAAGAAAGTTTTAATCAGGTGAGAGTCATCTGCATGGGAGTAGTGGTAGACGTGAAAGCTGATTGGTGTAGATGAGAAAACACACTGGGCCCAAGACACAACCTTGGGACAGCACATGAGAGTAAGGAACTTTAACAAAGTTTGTCTGCAGTTAATACTGGTTGACTGCTGTCTTTTAAAAAGGACTGGAGCCATGACAAGGCTTCACCTTCAATTGATGTTTAAGCATGCGAAGCAGTATTTCATGGTCTACAGTATCGTCGGATGCGTTCATGTCCAATACAATCGAGTTTGCGGCGTCTCCATTATCGACTATCTATCGTAGATCGTTTAGTACTCAAAGCAGCAAAGTTTCAGTTGAGTGATGTGGCCAGTAAGGAGATTGAAACTTATTCAGGATGTTATTCGCATATAGGTGATCCATGAGTCTCGTTGAAGCAGCTTATTCAATTAGCTTGGAAAGATATGGCAAGTTTAAAACAGCTCGGTAGTTCTTTAAGATGGTTGAATCATGTTTCATTTTTTTTAAATATGTGGTTTGACAGTGGCGTTTTTAAGCTCATCTGGAAATACTCCTGCTGACATGAGTTCTTGTTGATCATATCTGTTATAACTGGAAGTAAAGAGTTCATGTGATCTGCGACCCGTGAAGATTAGACCCGGGTAGAATAGGTCTTCAGCAACAAACAATCAATCAATCAATCAATCATGTGATCTGCAGTCATCTTACTGGGGACAGGATCGCTCAAGCAAGTCGTGATATTGGATGATGATCTGCTAAACTCAGACTTACATGTCCTGCGGTCTGTGTATTACTGTTTTGAAGAAATGCTCTTTTGTCATGAATTTTCAACTCAAAAAAGGCTATTCACGTCAGCTTGTTCGTTCGTCGGAGGAAAAACACATTTTTCTTCATTCCCGAAAAGACCATTCATGAAGTTATGAAGCTGTCTTGGTTTATTTGCCATTTCTGTGATTCGTTGTTTACAAAATGTCGCTTGGAATCTTTGATCATCTGCGGACCTTGATCCTGTCAGATTTATAGAACACGTCCCATTTTAATTCTGGAAACCCAAAAGTCCAGAAACTCTACGCTCTTTGCCCAGTCTCGGTTAAAGGTATTTGCAAAATTAAACATGCCGTTTTCATGGGAACATACCAAGGAAGAAAAAATGAAAAAAAAATTGTTTAAAAACTAAATATTTAGACTATGTCTGGCGAAGTCTGGCCCATGGGTAGGCCCATAGGCAGGCCCTTGGGCGAGAATATGTTCTTTTACTTAAAACTCATGTTTTTGTTTCGCAAATACATTTAATGTATTCATTCAAGTATCATGACACAAAATTTAACTCATTTTTACTTAATTTAACGATTTTATAGCGATATTGAAATATTTCGCCCATGGGCGAAAAAAAGGTTTGGCCCATGGGCGAGTATATGTTCCTTTACTTAAAACTCATGATTTTGTTTCGCAAAAACATTAAATGTATTCATTGAAGTATCATGACACAAAATTTAATGAAAAAACAAATGTTCAAAAACTCAATATTTAGACTATGTCGCCCATGGGCCTGCCCATGGGCGAAGTCTGGCCCATGGGTAGGCCCATGGGCGAGAATATGTTCCTTTACTCAAAACTCATGTTTTTGTTTCGCAAATACATTAAATGTATTTATTTAAGTATCATGACACAAAATTTAACTCATTTTAACTTAATTCAACGATTTTATAGCGATATTGAAATATTTCGCCCATGGGCGAGAAAAGGGTTTGGCCCATGGGCGAGAATATTTTCCTTTACTTTAAACTTATGTTTTTGTTTCGCAAATACATGCAGGTGTTCTTACTATTTTCATGGCACATAATGTTACTCAATTTTACTCAATTCAGCTATTTTACAGATTTATTGGAATATTTCGCCCATGGGCGAGAAAAGGTTTTGCCTTCGAAATCCTTGATTATTCTATCATGCCAGAGTTCTGAAATTCAGTGACAATGTTGCTGAACAGTAGAATCTGATGGACGTATTGTGCAGAACCTGTTTGACACTATGGGTTCCAGGACCACTAACACTGTGAGCTGAAAACGTTTGGTCCTAACCGCACCCAACATCTTTAATGAACCCGGCCTTATCTCTCAAAACGTTTTGGCAGTTTATCATACGAATTCATGTGCGTGTACAGCATTAAATTTTAGTTAGTTTCTATTTCATTTCCCATTTTATGACCCGTTGATACATCCCACTGTGCAATTACGTGACAGGTACGCGTGCGCGTATTTTAATGGAAAGAAACTATTCGTCTTTTATTGCATAACGTTTGGCTGAATATCTTACATTCTAACGAAATCTCGAAATAATTATTTAATTACAAGCAGTGTCGAACTGACCAGTAGGAATTGTGTTTCAATGCGATTGAGGAAAACGGGAGTGAATATTGTGACACTAAAGCAACTTTTAACTGCATTGTCACTTTTGGTTTGAAAATGGTAATAGTTAAGAAAAACGTAACAGCCTTCTTATGATAATTCTCATATTCTCATTAGTACGTTGTGTCTAATTACAGTGTCGGCCTTATTTACAGGTGATTCTACAATACTTGTTGTCGGTCAATTACAATCTGCCACACCACGCGTGAATAAACAGTTATGCAGGTGTTGCTGTGGGCAAATACCTAGCCTGTACATGTATATTTTTGTGGATACATGTATTACATATTTTCGTTGATATGTGGATATATTAAGCACCAAGACACAAAAAGTTTATGAAAGATGAATTTGTGCCTTGATATATATATTCAACGCGAACGAAGCTTGTATTTTCTCCGCGATCCTGATGTGTATCATCGTTTAATTGGTCATTCATTTAAAGTATGTTGTGAGGCGATATCTAAGGAGCCGCTCAAGATACACAGTGTCGTCCGTTTCGCGTGAACTACCACCCTACCCTGTCAGTAAGAGTTATGTTATCGGTACACAAATATATTTGGTGCGATGTCAGTGTGGAAGGAGTTTGAATTACGTCCGCCAGTGGCCACAGAAAGTATAGTACCAATCAACAAGGCCAATGCGTACTAATAACCTAGTGACTCGCGTAACAACGGCTGTCAATATGTCTGCTACATCTACCATACCATCATCCCTGTCACAACTGGCGTATTAACGGTTTATTCAAAAAGTTATTGTAGAAATGTCGTTACCAGACTAACGTACGTCGTATTCAGTCCTCAACTGGATGTCACATTCCTTGTATCAGTTAACAGCCCTGTTTGTGAAAATATTTACTAGACATACGATTTAAAGACTAATAAAATCAATTGTAAGACCGCATAGACCATAAAACCGAATAAAATATGTCTTGGTATCATCTCTTGTGTATTAGATGATGGCAATGACCGGAAATGTTATAACGTTAGATTAAGAAGGAGAAACATTAAAGTGTTTTACAATACTTGGAAACATGAGCAATAAGATGTAGCAACATAAACATGCATGGAATAGGGAAAAAGGATGAAAACAAATTGAAAAGGATTTTAATACAAAATTATCGAACTTAATTACTTGCCTGAACAGAAGGGGTACCCAAACTTGTTTGACAGTTATTCGTGTGTTGTAGACTGTCGAATGGGACTGATGTGTGTACGTAGGGTAGGCATATCTATTGCAAGTTTTAGTACTCATACACTTTCTCTTTTTGTGTTTTGTTTGTTTGTTAGTTGTATAACGCCACACTTAGCAATATTTCAGCTGTATGACGGCGGTCTGTAAATAATCGAGTCTGGACCAGACAATCCAGTGATTGACATCATGTGCATCGATCCACGCAATTGGGATAC